AAATATGTTGATTGAATGTCTGATGCAAGTACTGTAGTTCATTAAAAAAAATATAATCAAAGTAAATCTGATAAAGTCAAGTCATGATGATATTAACCAATAGTACAGACTCAAATCAACAATTGACTTTGGATTAAGACTTGTCGCAGACTGAAATCATCCAAAGCAAACCACTTGGGCACATGCACCACTTGTGTCATGGTTTTTGAATGCATGAGTATTGTGCAAATGGTAGTGTTTTCCCGCAAACGAAACCAATATTGGATGCATCGAATCGACAATACCCCGAATGGCACACAAGTCTGAATAAATGGGTAACATCAAACAAAACTCCATGGCTAATGTATGCCACATGTAGTCACCTTTACTACCTGCATGTGATAAACCATATTGCATGTTACATGATAACCCAAAAGCAACCACCCTCGAACCCCTTTTGCCCACTACATGTCCTTAAACGTTCCTTTGGTGGTCGTCTGGTTGTTTTTCCCTGTAGTTTCATCTTCACTCATCACATCTTCCTGCAAATCCCCGAAAACTGCAGCATCCATTGCTGCTTCAACCTCTTGGGTCAAAGGGTCAACATCGGGGGCTTCCTCTTGATCATTGGGAACAACTTGGCCATCTGTGGGAGGGATGTCCTCAATGATTTGTGAGTCCAAGGGCTGTGAATCCACGGGCTGTGGGTGTGGCGGTGGCGGTGGCAGTGACTGACAAAAGCTGGAAGGGGCTGGTGGTGATGACTCTGAGGGCTGTGCATGAGGCTGTGACTCAGGCAGTGCTGGTGAATTGAAGGGCTGTGGTTTCAAGGGCTGTGCAACCGATGCTTCTGGTGAATCCAACTGGGTATCAGGCATTTCTTGGGCCGGTCCCACTGGCTGCCCCCACAAGCCACCATAGGTGCGGGCATAGATGTTGTCCACCATGGGCTCATCTGCTTTGGCTGGTTCTGAAGGCTTTTGAGGTGACATGGCACATTCACCATCATCATCGCTGAGAATCTGAATTGTCTCATTGTCTTGGTACCCTACCTCAACAATGACATCATCATCGAAACCCTCTTCTTCTTCTTCTTCCTCAATCACTATCTCTTCCACATCGTCGGTATCATCCAGACATTCTTTCTCAGAAAGGTTGCTCTTTGCCTTCCCCCTATGCAAACCTTCGGGAGCACCATCCAGGTCTTGCATGGGACGAACAGGTGACAAATAGCTCTGGGAGTCTGACATGTCCTGGGTTTCCATGGTGTCCGGGTTCTGCAATGCTTCCTGCACTTGGGCAAGGTGGATAATTGGATCACTGGGCAAACCTAACTGCATGCATTTACCACACAAAGCAGCAAATGATATAATGAAGCTAATGCAAACATCTTGAGCCGATAAAGCATATCATATATTGCAGGGTACCAATATAATAATTTATGACTTATGATAGATTAAGTATGTTTAATCAATAGCATTGTTTTCATGTGGTGATAATTATTTGTTATGATGTTGGAACTACTTACCACACTTTCAATGGAGTCCTTGCTCTTGCCACGTCCACGAGAAGCAACCCTTTTCCCCTGGGGAGTGAGAAGGTCATGCTCCTACAGGCCATACAAGGTGAACAATGGAGATGTGTTGATATGCATCCATCAAGCTGGAAATCAGCAATGATCAAAATGTGAGGTTGCTGATATGGTGCAATCACAATGCACATACAAACCCGCTACATTGGCAAACAAAAACTAGCAGGAACACACCCACACTCCTGCAGCTTTGCCCTTATTACTGCACGGAGTTGCTCAGCACGCTGATGACCCGGACTCAGTAGGGCAAGGAATACTGAACACTTGATTCAAAAATTTTCTTTAATTCGATTGGTGATATCTGCGGCGCAAGAAAATAAAACCCCACCACCTGGAATCAAGAAGTTCAATGCATCCGGTTTCTTTCTCAGCAATTAAAATGAAGTCACATCGCCGTAGTCAAGAGATCTGGAAGCAAAAGAAGACTTTGACTTTGAATGATAACACCATTCTCTGCACCAGGCCTTCATCACACAAAACAATATGAACTAAAATCTAATTCAACCAAACATGCACCATATTCAGATTCAAATAAACCAATGTACAGGATATCAAAGTCTAAATTGCACATCGATCCATCTCATGTCAACTGGTATGTCCTTTCTGGACGTAAATGTAACGACCTGGAACAGACAGCTGGGACCCCAGCCGTGCGGAAACATTTCTTTGAAAACGGTCCATGCAGTACGTTGCTGCTGACATGAAGGCACCTGCTTCAACAACTGCCCAATCCTCAGCATACATCATGCACGACCACATAGAACCTAAGTGATTCGATGCATGGTGTTTCCAACTCTAGTTTGTACCGATATGATAGGGAACCAATGACAAGCTGGCCTGAGAGCAAGCTATAACCCAAAAACCCAAAAACCTATCTATAATATTATATTACTCGTGCATCATACTTTCGATCATTGAACCACCTGTCTTGATGATGTAACGTACCTTTGCATTCATGCATATATCATTACCGAGGTTAGACATCCAGAAGTCACAGAGGCAATGCCTCAGATCAGCTGTCATATTAATCACCATGAAAATGATCATAACCCAAGGTGTCACTTGAGGGCCCCCACACTATGTTCTTCAGGCTTTTTCCATGGGTTGAGCCGGTAGTGGACGGAGGCCCAACTTAACGATACCTCGCAAGGAAGCGGTGAAATCCAGTATGATCCATACAGGTGCAAAACAAAAACATCAAAAATACATGACACTTTACATGATCTAAACCTATGCTAGTTAGTTGACTCCAAGTACATCAAAAAAACAAAAACACATATTAATGCTCTGCATTGTACTTCCTTTTTCAGTCGAAACACATGTGTCATAACCATCTATTGAACACAATTGAAGGACAATTTTCATAATGCACATAATGTTCTGAAAAAATGCAACAACCTATTTGACAAATTTCCAACCATGTCTCATTCTTTGCACCCTATACTTTTTTCAGCCCCTCTTCCTCAGCTTTGATGAAATGTTAACCAAATCTATACATGATCGATATAGCAAAATGCAATTTCATAGGATACATTGACAATAACTCCTGAGCTCATATTTTGGCAATATAGTAAACATATGAGTTCGTACCCACCAAACCTAGGCCTGGAAAGAAGCCACATACCCACAAACCAAAGGATACAGTGACAGTATCAAACACATGATGAATGAGAACACAACCAAGCCCAGCCAACAGATTCAAACATACTCCACACAAGTAAAACAAACAGGACTAAAAGGGTTTATAATAAGTGCGAATTATTTTTTTTAGAGGTGAGAGTAACCCAGTCCCTCTTGCACCATACCTGGTGGAAAATAATTTTCATCAAGTCAACAACGGCCTGCCTCTAGTTCTTTGCGCCGCGGCAAAAAATGCGCGAAGCTTGCTAAGTACTGAAGCAAGATTTCAAAGTTGAAGTCACTTTCAACCTGCAACAAACTGAAATTGCAGGTGTGCACTTTGATATGAGCAATATGGACAAGCTAACCAAATAACTCATAACATGTATACTATTATATAGATTGAAAAATAATATTATTATATATAAAACTGTTAAAACTCATCAACTTTAAACCTCATAATCTTATTACGATCGATGCTTGCCATCGTGCAATCTGCAACTGCCATAACCTGCAACTCCCCTAGATAATATAACAATAAATCCTATATCATCCTCTTACAATTCAATGATGTTGTTCAGATCGGAAATCAGACAATGAGGCAGTACTTGACACAAATGCACACGGATTAAGCACCTCCCGCTCTCCAACGCGTCTCCCCTCGAAGACCAGGAATCGAAATTTTGGGACCTAGATGGCAGGGCATGTGATTGGCAAGATCGACTTGTTCATGGGATTCAGGGCCTATAGGGAAAATTGTTTGATCGAATTGCAAAGCCAATTCTCTTAACACAACGTCTGGGGAAAGGGCCAGCTTCCGATCGGTGTCTTTCAATCCAGCTCGTAGGCGTAGGATCTTTCTGCGCTCTGCTAAAAAAGCAGAGTCTTCACAGAAGACCTTGAGATACTCCTAGCGAAGTGCAAGCATTATATATGTCATAGAATTGCAAGATCATCGCAATTGTATCTCATGAATGATGAAGATAAGCATTCAACTCTTCACAAATTTGACAAACTTAAGTCTGCTATCAACAGACTGGCCACAGTTGTATCCTAAGCATGTGCTGCACACATGCATGTATATTTTTGTCATGAGCAAGACCTAATCAGGAATTGTACTATAGTTGTTGTTGATTTGCACGATATAACGCCATCCGTGCATGCGTACAGGCCTGAAAAATATTGCATGTGTTTATTGATGATTGTTTTGATTGTAAGGCATGAATGACAACACTGTAATAAAATATAATTATGGTACTGGTAATATTGGTGGAAATGAATTCAGTTCAGGGGGTTAAGTAGGCATCAGTAACTCCTATAAATCTTATCCGGAATGCCAATTTGAATGATCAACAACCTATCAACTATGAACCACTCTAATATTTGTGGAACCCTGCTTTCCACGGAATCATTGTGCAGTCTCCTTGATCAAGGCCACGCGCTTGGGATCCAAACGCTTGGGCGAGACACTGTCAGCCATCACCACTACAGCAAAGCACAGGGTTGAATAGTTTTTGGAACTCGTTCATTGGTTCCCTAGTTGTGGCAGACTTGATCAAGTGATGTGCGGCACCTTACACGCTGATTTCCAATGCAGCCTTTAGATCAATGGATATGTTGATCACAATTGCTTCTTGTGAAATGATGAGCATATTTTATACAAGTCTTGGGGCAACTTGAGATCATGAAACACCGCTGGCCACAACACCATCAAGTGGATGGAATCACTGCTGACTCGGCGTTTACCACTGCAAAGCAATTGCCATAAGGGAGACAAAAAGAAAGCTGAAGGGGGTGGATGGATGCGCACCTATCTCATCTAGATCCACGATGTCATCACCAGTTTGTTCTTCCAAAAAGCCTTGGGGCGCAGCAAAATGGTGGCAACCACCCCAGCTAGCTAGCTTGTGTGACACATGTGATATCACATAAATGGTTCAAAATCTCAGACCCCAACGTCGTGCCAAAGCTCGTTTCATGATATACCACACCACCCATGGCGCAGAAACATGGAGCTTGGCGTTAAAGTAGAGGCCATATGTTGTCATGGGTTGGGTTTGCCTTTGGAAGCTGTGATTATTTCAAGGGATATCATCTACCAATAAATTTGATCGAATCAGTAATTATGCAACCGGAATGTCCCCAATATATTGGATAGGGAGATCAATGCTGTGATCCAATTTTAATCATTATCCCAGTGCCTCGGGGGCCAAAATGGCCTGCGATGAATTGTATTAGTTCCCAATGCCCACATCCGCATCGAACACCAGGGTCCAGGCCTCACAGGGACAAACAAAGGGGGTTCACGCCCCTGAAGGGTGGCTGTACAACCACCTTTCTTTGAAGTGTCGAGGAAGCCTAGGGTATATGTATATGTATATGTATATGTATATGTATATGTATATGTATATGTATATGTATATGTATGTCAGATTACCAATGCTACTATATAGTATCTTAGATTACGAAATGGTATGTTCTTCTCATTTTTTCTTCACCATGAAGTTCCCCAAGTTCACCAAACACCCCGCCTCTGCCAGAAGCACCTCTGCCATGCGATTCCAGGTGCTACCTGGGGAAACGCCATGATTTCTGGATGATTTTCCAGTTTACCGGATCCATGGATGGAAGTTTTTGCAGGAAAGGCAGTCCACCATTTAAACCTGTCAACATCCAGTTCTATCTCAACTTCTCCACAGTTCTGCTTGGCAATCAATAAGTTGTAAATCCCATGTATATATAATATGTTATACAGTTATAACATCTCTCTCTCTCTATCTATCTATCTATCTATCTGTCTGTCTGTCTGTCTGTCGGTCGGTCGTTCGATCCATCCATCCATCGATCTATCTCTCTCTCTCTCTATATATATATATACACATACTATTGCATACGTACATAAATGCTCAAGCTCGCATTTTTGTTGGTGAACTGGTGAACCATCCCTCACCACATCTTTCCACCGCTGCCTCGCACCTTCGTCACCGGAGCGCTGACCCGCTGTCTGGGCGGCATGGAGGAGATGTGCCAAGCCTCGTATCGCAGATTTCGGGTGAATGACTGGTGATTGGATTCTGGCAATGTGCCCATGGTGAATGACTTACGCAAAAAAATATCCGCAAAGATGAGGATACAACCATCAAAATGATGAGGATCTATCATGATTTAACCACTTCTAAATGGATTTTTGGAACCATAGAAGTTATATCCATACTAGCACCAGCTAAAGTTCACGGGGGCCCTGAAAACTGGGTTCCCTTTTCGATGATTTTAGTACTGGATACAGCCCAACTGTCGGGTTTGAAGATGTGCTGCTTGGTGGCTTCAACCTGTTCCCCGCTGACAAATCAGTGGTTTTGGCTCATCGCAAGTAAGAGGAGGAAAACAAGTTATAGTTCAAATATGTTCAAATCACTAGTAAAATATATGATCAATCCATTTTGGTGCACAGCTTTTGAGCCATCCCCCAGTGATGGAAGGCTACTTGCTGCCAACTCAAAATCCACAACCAATATCCTGGTGAAACGCATCGCCCAAACTCAGATCCAACCCTGGTGCAGTTTCGGTGAAGGGAGTTTCATGGTGAAACAACTGGAGAATATCCCATGAAACCCAGATCGTCCCATTCAACCAGTTGGATCCAGTTGGTATAAAGAAAACACAACCGTCAGGGCTCTGGCCGCTGCATCCTTGGATGCCCTGCATAATGCATCTGCTGCTTCCTCCCTCTTCTCAGGATCTGCGCTGGGCAAGGCCTGGTACCGTCAGCGTAAGTCCAGTAATCCCGGTTTTTAGTAAGCCCGATAGGAGGTCGATGGAGGTTAAACATACTTAAGCCAAAACAAAAACATCTTGAATCTGGGGTGAAATCTTTGGGAAAGTACTCCTACACTTCCATGCTTTTTGCGAATTCGCCCCAACTTGGCGGCAACTGATCGACTCTTTTTTTAGGGTCTAAGAATGTTGATGGGACCTGAAGCCTCATTGGCTGCAAAAACCCACAGCCTCGCACGCGTCGTAGAGGTCTGGGAAGGTCTCACGACAGTTGGGCCTTTTTGGCACTGAGGCTTGGAGAAGAAATCTGCTGAGGGATTGAAACTCCATCCTGACATCTGATGACCAATTGTTGGCGGCATTTCTATGGTTTCCTTTCATGCACAGAATCTGCGGGAGCAATGGGCTAATGGGGATAGAAGTATTCAGTGAGAACATCCTGGCGATACCGTCATCAGTTGGAAATGACACCGGGTACAGCACTGCAGGCTTTTCATGCAAAAATGTCAGACCTGCCGCAGTTTCCAAACAGCTCCTGTTTTTCAACACCGGTACTGTAATCAGCTCCATGGTTGGAAAATGATCGATTTCGTTCGATTGTGTTTTTCTAGTTGCCCATTGGGGATTCAGTATTTTTCGGCCTTCACTTAGAGATCTTAGAGTGGATTTTCCCAGATTTTCTCATCGCCATGGAACATTTCCCAGCCATCAACGCTAGCTGGGGCCTGGAGAAATGAAGTTCTCTGGGAATCTTAAGCAGCACCTCTCAGCGAGGCACCATGGGAAAAAGATGGAAACCATGAGGAGAAACATGGAGAAACCATGAGAAACCAACATTTTCATATGGAAGAATATGGAAAACATGAGGTTTCTCGTGTTCCCCTATTCCCAACATTTTGAAAAAATCCCATGTGATTTCGCGCTGACGAGGCGCCGTTCCTTTCGGGATGTCATCATCAACCACCAGACCTGGCACCTGCGAGCCCCGCTCAGGCTGTGTCAACGACCCAAAAAGGGAAGGCCGGTACTTACCCATGTGGGAAAAAAACGAATCACCATTGTCATTAGAAAAAAACGTGACCGCACAAATACTAGACATGTGTGTATATATATATAATATTTATAAATTATATGTTCACATATTTAAGAATTACAGAAATGTTGGATTTTCCATTGCCAGGCTACAAACAATCCAGCGAAGGAAGGGTATGGGTCAAAAAAATATCAGCGCCTAGGGATGATTACCCTCCCATAAGTTACATAGATATGAGCAACCCACCAGGAATGTACTTTCCATGCGTGAGTCTATCTCAGGCGTAAGTTCAGTACCATTGAAAATAAAATGATGATTAATGTTCACATGATTTTCCTGAAAACCAGATACTTCAATTACCATGAGTGCATGTGTCAATCCATCAAAGTTGGCATTCTGCACGTTCCCTATTCAAGAAAATATTCATGGTGATTTGCGGATCTATGACTACACGTATCTGTAATTTTAAAGGTTGGCAGGCCAGGATTCTATTTTTTAAACAAATCCAAACTCAGATTGTTTTTGTTTGTTGTATATATATATATATATTTATAATTATCCCATTATATATCACACCCAGATAGTTGTTAAATCTCCAGTGCTGAATCCAGTGGAGAGTCAAAAATCCGGCCCTGCCTTCAGCTCCGCCCTGCGCAGGCCATGCCACACTGCGCCCGCCTTTTTCAAGGCGTCGCACAGCGCCGCGGTGCATGCGGCGCGATGGGGCGCAGCGGCGGGCACCGGTAGCCTGGCATTTGCTGGGGAAGATGATTTGGGGGGTTCCATAAATAGAGCTACCCCAAAATGGATGGTTTATAATGGAAAATCCTACTAAAATGGATGATTTGGGGATGCCCCTATTTTAGAAAACCCCCATTTAGGGCCTTAGGGAAGGTTTGCATCCAGAGGTTTTGATGGATTTGCATAGCCAGAAGCACATATTTCGGGAAGGTGTTCACCGTTCAATGGGGAGTTCATCAGCACGATTTGGTGAGATGATTCTATGTATCCGAATGCCTTCAGGAAATTGGGAATGTGTTTGGTTCTTAACCATATCAATGGATCCAGATCAAACATTTGAAGATTCCCCACATGCTCAGCATGCAGAGCCAAAATCCAAAGCCCCAGTGCTGGTTTCGAAGCCTGGTTTAAGTGCCTCCAAGCGAGACAAAAATTGGGAAGATACCCCAAAGGCCCAGACCAGCAACACCTTCTAAGGCGAAAGGTGAAGTGAAGAGGGAAAAAAACACCTCCAGTGTGGGGGAAAAAACCCTTCAGCCAGGCACTAACCCAAAGAAAATCAACAGAGCATCACGAGCATCAGAACGGCAGACAACTGTAGGCCCCGACTGCCGGCACTCTGCAAAAATGAAAAAAAATTGAAGATGTTGCATGGCTGTATGGTGCTGTTTTATCAAGCAAAAAAAAAACATCCATCACCAAACAGCACCCGATCACAGCCTTGGCATTACCCTGGAACGTTTCTCCGGCGGCTCTCCTGCAAATTAGTTAAGCCATTGGGCACTCCAAAGGTTGGGGAAATCATACTAAACATCTGGGGATGGATTCAAACCCATGGTACATCATGGCACTAGTACTTTTGTTTTGGGGGGATGAACCTCCATCCCTGCTATTTTGGTCACCAGAGTACATACCAGGGATTTGACCCATGGCCATCAGATCACACAATCTCCAATGGTTCTTTGGGGGGGCAAAAAATGTCAACATGTCACATGGCCGGAGATGATGAAAGTCCAAACCCAAGCGCCGCACTTGGCCTCTCCTTCAGCCATGCTGGCAGCGCTGTTGAGGGGTGTCCCCGACTCATCGGACATGTTCCAACTGGAATTTCCAGACTTTGCTATTCAGGTCTGAAACCATACTGTGAATGGTTGCGAAATCCTGCAGCACCGAAAGGATGGTTGAAACCCTATAAATCATGGGATAAACGATCTATCAGCTGGTGCAGGATTTCGCAACCATCCACAGTATGGTTTCAGTTTCCAACATGAAACTCTAAACCTTTGAATTATGCAGCAAGTTTTTTTCGACAGGTCACAGGCTAAAACAGCGTGTGTTTCTTCAAATTCAACCGAACGTGAAGAACTGTAAGATTAGTGTGTTTGAAAGCTGTCACCTGCATGTTCATGATAGTCAAATAAGGAGTAATTAAACATATACATATGGCATATGATATCTCTATCTATATATTTATGATGCTATCATGGTGGAGTCCATGTCACGCTTTGCGACGCAGTTTCCACGGCTCAAGCTGACAGCACAACCACGGCGGACGTCAAATATCATGAGTTTGGAATCAGTGGTTTCAATGGTTGGAAAACCCCCCGAAAGATATTAGCTAGGATCATCATCTCAAATGGGGCAGCGGCAGACAAAAAAACATCACCCAGCTTGGACCAATATTGTGTAATGTGGGAAAGCCGATGCCATAAGCCTACCATTAGGGTGGCAATATTGGAGATAGTACACCATATTTACCATGAATCATACCACAATAATCATGGCAATAAACCATGGCAATAAACCATGGCAATACTGGGTTTATTATTGGTTTTACCATGGTTTACACCCCATCCATACACAGAAACGGTACCCAGAAACTCCACGGGGCCGGACGGATGGGTGTCGCGTTCAAAGCTTTGAAGAGCTCTGCGGCCACTCGATCCTCCTGGGCTGATGGCTATGGCTGGCTATGGATTCACCTTGTATATTCCTATCATATTCCCATGTTTCCATAGCATTAAAAAAGGCCATATATATGGATATGGAAATATATATATATAGTGACTATAGTGGGAATGATAGGAATATGGCTAGGACTTTTTGTTGCCCATGATATTCCCAGTATATATTCCTATCATTTCCCATGTTGGACCCCCAGCCAACGCTGCACCTGGCTGCGTTGCACGTCCGGCTCGGAGCTCCGACGTTGGGCCCTCGGAGATCCATGGAGATCACAACAAATCGTATTGCTATTGTAACAGTGTTTAATATTAATAGCAGATATACCCTCTGGTAAACTAGCATAGCTATTGAAAATGGCCATCTATAGTTTACCCATTAATATTGGTTGTGGGTTAATGATTATATCATAATATTGGTTAATGAATAATATGTAACAACCATTATAATGGTTATATATTAATGGTTAATAAATAAATGGTTATATAACAGTGTAATAATGGTTATATGGTTATATAATGGTTAATAGCTATAATAATAAATATAACGATTTAATAGCTATATAACGGTGTTTTGTAATAATGGTTATATAATAATGGTTAATAAATAATGGTTGTATAACAGTGTAATAATGGTTATATGGTTATATAATGGTTAATAGCTATAATAATAAATATAACCATTTAATAGCTATATAACGGTGTTTTGCAATAATGGTTATATAATAATGGTTAATAAATAATGGTTATAATGGTTATATAATAATGGTTAATATTTAGTATAATGGTTAATATTTAGTAATACTATTAATAATGGTTATATAACTTTAATATTGTCATAGTTTACTGTAATAGTGTTTAGTATAGTTTGATATGACTTTAATAATAGTATTAACTACTAAACTTTATATAACTTTATATCAAACTATATTAAACACTATGACTATTACTTTTGATAGTGACTGTATGCCTAAATTAAATAAACTCATCGTTTTTGGTGCATCCCAGATGTTTCTAGCCCCTGCCTTTCAGCCCTTTCGGCCCTGGGCGATCCCAACACCTGCCGTTCATAGAAGATCTGCAAGGCATGGCGCCAACTGTCGACCTCCTCTGCCGGCAATCCGCGCAGTTTCGCCGCCTGGGGCAAGAACTGAACAAAAAAAAACACCCGATTTGTGTGTGTGTGTTGTATCAACTAAACATGATCAAACATGATCTGATTAAATCTACACAACCAAAGATGATATTCATTGGGTGAATGACAGGGCATTGGTCGAAAAATGGCACAGACTGTTGCTGTTGAAACATGGGGGAAGTATTTGTCGAAACCTTTCGACCGGTTCGCTCTTTGGAACGGTTGATTTCAATCGGAAAGACCCGGCCCGGTCATTTTGGTGACCGCTCAGACCGCTCAGACCTGTTTGCTGATTGATCAATTGTGCTTCTGATTGATCATGACTGATTCATTCATAAATCATCATAAATCCATGCGTTGATGAATTTGTGTTTAAATAGAATAATTACCCAGAAAACTCCAGCATTTTCCCCATCAAACTGCCATGAATTGGGAGTATCACCATTTTCCAACAGACCCACATATCATATTGGTGGGTAAACACAACACAAATCACGCCATCATTTGGCTGGTGGTAAAACTCCATAATTAACTTTGTAGGTTAGTTCCCCTTCTAGATTACAAACCAAGCTGTTCACTTGGCCAACTCAATTTATAACATTTTATAACCCCATAGGCCTTGATGTTCACCTAGTCATCAAACATTGCCTCTAGGGGTGATTTCCCAAAACGCCTCGCAGCACTGGAAGGTGGAACGCAAAGCTTCCAGGTGACCTCGGGATTTATTAAATGAATCCTATTGAAATTTGGCAGTTTGGGACTTTGGGATACAGCTTTTGGAAAAAAAACATCTGGATTCTCTTGAAATTCTGAATGGGGGTGAACAACCAGACATGTGTTTCTTGATCTACGCCTGGGGATTTATTGGTCCTCACAAGAGCGGGAACTTGACTGACCACCATACAAGCTCAGCAAGTTGCTTTAGAGAGAAAAAAATGGAAAAGTGCCCAGCAATGCCCAACATGGATAATCAATCATCAATATTGCGAAAATCTGTCGCTTAGGGTCTCAAATCTCAAAATTTGACCTACATCCAATCATAAAAAGAACAACTCAAGGGAATTGCACAGTAGTCATTCGACTGGACCCTAGCCCCCCCGAAACACACCCCATGAACAGTTTCATTTCAGCCCCCAAATCGATGGTGCATAGTTGAATGTGTCTGTACTGCATGAATTGGTTGACTCGCCACAGGGTCCATGGAAGTTCTAAGCAATTCAGCCGGCGTTGCAGCTAGGTGATTTTAGCAACTATCTTTCCATCGACTCTATGTAGCAGCGGAGTGGATGTTTGTTTAGCAAACACCATCCGCTGGCAGGTCACTCCATAGATTCAGGGGTTGCACAGCGAATTGACTCAATGTCTTAACCCAAGCGAAGCAACTGCGACTGTAGCTTGAAAGATACTACCTCTGTACAGAACAGATGTGTTCAGCTTGGAAAGACATCAGGGGCCTTAAGAAAGACCTGGCGGCAAACGCGCAAACCGCGCGTTCAATTTGGGCCGTTGAAAATGGCAGGTTGCTATATTAATATCAGGCTGCACCAGTTTCGTCAAAATGCCAAGGTTCAGTTGGGCCTTCCATCACTCCAAATAACCCAACAATAGAAAGGAATCCATGACATGAAACAAACCAGATTGATTTATTTGAATGTATTTGGATCAGAGTACTGCTATCTGGCTGGCAGATTTCCGCGAAAAACTTTGCACCTTGGCATCCTAGTCCATTAGCACAAAGTCAATCTGAGGGTTTCTGCAGTTTCCAGCAGATTCTGTACATCAGGTCACTGAGAGGGAAATTGCAGGCGTGCTGTCGATGGATCTTCGGGGCTAGTTTAGGCATGTGCTGAATCATGATGAAACATGTTCAAAAATTATCAAAGATTGAAGGTTCTGTCGGTTCTGTTTCCAATAACCAGTTTGACCCATCGACAGCTCAGTCGAGTTTTGTTTTATGCTCGGAGCTCAGCTTTGGACTCCCATTGGATGATGGTGAGCGTTGTCGCTCCGCATACCTCAGCCGCGGTGATGGCGTTCCCCGAAATGCCAAGGTTGGAACATGCTGAAACTGGGTTTGTTGGGGACCGCCCAGTTACATCACCACGAGTTTCAACTGACTCGGTGCCAGCTCCTTCCCAAACACCTCCAGAGCTTCCTGGCCAGGTGTCTTCCACAGGGTGAAGAGTTGCGAAAATCTTTGGGGTCTCGTGGATGAAAGCGGGACTTTGCATTTGGGTCTCAAATGTCTGAACTAATGATGTTTCTTTAGCAGAAAGATGCCTCCCAAACGTCCCAAAACATTTTCCTTTGGAGAGATAAAACAGTGACTCGGGAACGCGTCAAGCAACCAGTGAAACACTGCACAGCTCGGATACTCTGTGAGAGTTCTTTGCTGCGGGCCCCAAGACATATCATATCATCATGACGCAGTACCACTATTACCGCACAAGGCGGTGGCGGAAGTTTCAGGGGTAGGACATTATAGGAGAGGTTGGTTGTTGTGAATCACGGATGGCAGAGCGAATCCACTGATGGACCGAAAGGTGGTTGGAGTTGTGTTTTTTGGAATGGTTGCAATGGTTGCAATGGTTGCAATGGTTGGAGCGGTCACCTCACCCACACTTGCTGGCTGTAGTGTGGTGTAGCGCAGCTGTAGTTGTAGTTGTAGATGTAGTTCTAGTGCAACGTAGTTAGTGTAGTGTAGTTGCAGTTGTAGTTGTGGTGTGGTTTAATTAGTGTAGTGTGATGTAGTGTACTTTATTATAGTGTAGTATAGTGTAGTGTAGTCTAGTGTTGTGTGAAGTAGTGCAGTTGTAGTTGTAGCTGTAGTTGTAGCGTAGTGTAGTGTAATTAGTGTAGGTGTAGTTGTAAGTGTAGGTGTGGTTGTAGTGTAGCGTTGTGTAACGTAGTTGTAGTTGTAGCTGTACATGTAGTTGTAGTGTAATGTAGTGCAGTTGTAGCTGTAGCTGTAGTTGTAGAAGTAGTTGTATTTGTAGTTGCAGTTGTGGATGTAGTTGTAGTGTAATTCAGGTAGTGTAGCGTAGCGTAGCGTAGCGTAGTGTAGCGCGGTGTAGTGTAATTTGTGTAGTGTAATTAATGTACTGTAATGTAGCCTAGTATATTTGCATTTGCATTTGTATTTGTAGCAGTTGTAGTAGTTGTAGTTGTTGTAGTAGTAGTCGTCGTCGTAGTCGTAGTCGTAGTAGTCCTAGTAGTAGTCGTAGTAGCAGTAGCAGGAGCAGTAGCAGGAGCAGGAGCAGTAGTAGTAGTACTAGTACTAGTACTAGTACTAGTACTATCAGTAGTAGTAGTAGCAGTAGTAGTAGCAGTAGTAGTAGCAGTAGTAGCAGTAGCAGTAGCAGTAGCAGTAGCAGCAGTAGTAGTAGCAGTAGCAGTAGCAGTAGCAGTAGCAGTAGCAGTAGCAGCAGCAGTAGCAGTAGCAGTAGCAGTAGAACTAGCAGCAGCAGCAGCAGCAGCAGTAGTAGTAGTAGTAGGAGTAGGAGTAGGAGTAGGAGTAGTAGTAGGAGGAGTAGTAGTAGGAGGAGTAGTAGTAGTAGTAGTAGGAGGAGGAGTAGGAGTAGGAGCAGGAGTAGGAGTAGGAGTAGTAGGAGGAGGAGCAGTAGTAGTAGTAGTAGGAGTAGGAGTAGGAGTAGGAGTAGGGGTAGGAGTGGAGTAGGAGTAGGAGTAGGAGTAGGAGTAGGGGTAGGAGTAGGGGTAGGAGTAGGAGTAGGAGTAGTAGGAGTAGTAGGAGTAGTAGGAGTAGTAGGAGTAGTAGTAGTAGTAGTCGTCGTCGTAGTAGTAGTCGTAGTCGTAGTCGTAGTCGTAGTCGTAGTCGTAGTCGTAGTCGTAGTCGTAGTAGTAGTAGTAGTAGTAGTAGTCGTCGTCGTCGTCGTCGTCGTCGTCGTCGTCGTCGTGGTCGTAGTCGTAGTCGTAGTAGTAGTAGTAGTAGTAGTAGTAGTAGTAGTAGTAGTAGTAGTAGTAGTAGTAGTAGAAGTAGAAGTAGAAGTAGAAGTAGAAGTAGTGGTGGTGGTGGTGGTGGTGGTAGTAGTAGTAGCAGCAGCAGCAGCAGTGTGGTGAGGTGGTAGTGGTAGTTGTAGCTGTCTGTCTATCTATCTATCTATCTATCTATCTATCTATCCATCGATCTATCTATCTATCTATCTGTCTGTCTGTCTGTCTGTCTGTCTATCTGCAAGCTTGAAAATGAAGCTATTCTGCGAGACTTCCTCACTTTTTGAACTTGACATCATCAAAAACGCAGCAATTCTGCGAGACTTCCTCAATCTTTTTACTTGACAACGTCAAAAACGCAGCAATTCTGCGAGACTTCCTCAATCTTTTCACTTGACGGCGTCAAAAACGAAGCAATTCTGCGCGACTTCCTCAATTTTCGAAGTTGACAACATCAAACACAAAGCAATTCTGTGAGACTTCCTTCGAAAATGGAAAGTTGAGTGCAGAGCTGACGGCCTCGTACCAATGCGTTTTGCGATTTCTCCACTCCATCTGTCTAAAGCACTGTGCCTGCCACAAAAAAAGTGAGGCCAGGTCATACGAAGTGCTGCAAGTGCTGCACCTATCACACAAAATCATCTTACCAAACCTGAAGATCTGATGCTCCAAAATGCAACCCTTCTCAGGAGCTCAGCGCCCGGACCTCCTAACATCTCTGATGAACATGTCTCTTGTACTGCGCCTGCCACAGAAAATGCATCTTTCCAGATCCTCTTCAAATGTCCCACGCCTGCCAACGCTTTTGAAACTGCTACCTGCTACAAAACCCTTGACAAGGTGCACACTTTTGACAAGGTGCACAATCCCTTGCGCCTTCCATGCAAAACGACATCTGAAGGTCCAAAAGTTTTCCGAACATGTGGTGCTTTTGACATTTTGACTTGGAAATGTGCTTCGCGCTACAGCGGCGTGCACTTTTTCGACATCTCAACTTCCAAAAGTGGTCCGAACGTGAGATGCTTTCCACAATTTGATTTCCAAATGTGCTTCATGCCGCACGACGTGCAATGTTTTCATCTCTCATCTGATTAGACGGCTCCGCACCCTTTAGCGAGCCTACTTTTCGACCCTCCGGAGCCACAAATCATTGGAAAAACATTGTGTTTCACGACTTTTCTACCTTTTCCCGCACCTGCATGTTCTTTCTTCTGGTGCTTTCTCTTCTCTGAATTTCTCTGATCTTCTCTCTTCTTCTCTTCTCTTCTCTGACTCTTCCCACCTCTGCTTTTCCATATGTCCGTATTGTCGGAAGTTTGACTTCTAAACTTCTTTGGAATATACAATAATTAATGTTTATGATATTATACTGCCATCATTTCACCATCGTCATTAGTATGTATATATGTACATACATGCATATATATATATACACCATGATGGTGATGATCCTGTCATCATATCACATCATATCACCATGGTCATTAATATATCATATCACCATATGTATGTATTGTATATATATATATATACGTATATATAATGGTGATATGATGATCACCTGGCCTCGCCCACGGAGAGGTACAGCTCCACCAGGCACAGAATCGCCGCCTTGCCTTGTAAAAACCGTGAGGCGGGGGCTGGGGGCATACCCTGAAGAAATGGAGCAAATATGGCAATTTTTATAGGAAAACATGGGAAAAACATGAGAAAACCATGGAAAAACATTGGAAAACATGGGAAAAGTATGGAAAAGGCATTTTTATGAAAATTGTGTAATATACTATTTAGGTACATGATGCAATAAATAAGCTGGATTAAGTTGGTTTGTCCCAAGCTGATGCGGATATTGTTTTCCCAAAAGCAGTACATCAAAGTGGCCTGCCAGGCCAAAATGAACAGAAAACAGTCATGAAACATCATGAAAAATCATGAGACATGATGTTTTTTGTGGGTGTTCATAGGTTTCCCCTGGGAACACGCACTTCGTGGCAGGCATCTTGACACCTTTTTAGTGACCAATTTCCGAGGTGCGAGTCTCAGCCACATCGCACGACAGGGCGGTGCTGAGTGCCGGCAGGATCAGTACCAAATGGTCCAAGGCTTGCCTTTCAGGGAAAAACATCCAGGATAGATCAGTCATTTGTTTTCCAATGTTTTCACAGATGGAGTATGGATCCAAAAAAAACAGTCAGTCGGCGCCTCGGAGGCAAGCGTCTTAGGCTCAAGGGTAACAAGGAGAGAGCCAAATCTGCCTCTGTCACCTGGAAAACCATGGCGAGATTCGGTCACCCGGATCTCTGATGTCTGATCTGGAAAGCGAAAATGTGAACTCGAAATGATTCGGTCAGAAAGAATGTGTGGAACTCATCAATTTCTTGAATTTCTTGGATTCTCCAAGTCACCAGGGGGAGCAAAATCTCCATAGCTCTCAGGGGCAAAATGGCGGCCAGCAAGCGCTCCAATAGACCTGGCGAAAAGAGATGAAGGGTGAACTCAACCACTCCCAGCAGGTTAGTGTAGCACCTCAAAAGATGGACATGAAAAAGTTCAATTCACATTGAATCAGTGGTATAAATGCCGTGGCATTGGACCATTCACAACAGGGGTTACAACAGGGGACTTACCAAGCATAGCATAGCCTTGCCATCCCCAAGGCGTCCAAGGCGTCCAAGGTACGGAGGCTTTTCCGCTTCAGCTCCCCCGAGCTCTGCCCGTGGCATTGGACGAGTTTCGATGCCAAGACCTCCGCGAAGTCCTCGCAGCACTCCGGGTGCTGCATCAGCTCCTGGAGGAAAATGGCACTAACAATGGTGTACCAAGGGGGATAACAATGGGATAATGGGAGACTAAGGGGAAGATGGATGAAAATGGATGAACATGGATGAAAATGGATGAAAATGGATGAACATGGTGCATGAATAGTAGTTAAGACTGGTGAATAGTGAATAGCCTCTGGTAAATCAACCAGTTTTCTATCGAAAATCACCATGGACCATCTGCCAAGGCACCTGCAAACTTTCCAAAGAGGCTGCCTTGGCCTGGCAAGCTGCTGGTTTCAAGGGCTCTGAACATATGAAAATCATCAAAAATCAATTGGTGATCATCCCATCTTTATGGAAAACATCAATAGGTGAAACCATGAGAAGCTGAAGGTTTCATCTGAAGAGAATCCAACAAATCTGATCTGGTCAACCTGGGTGGCCGTCTCTAGCTCTCTTGTTTGCTGCATCTGAAATCTTGCAAAGTTGAAGAAGGAGCAGAGTTACAAATGCCAGAACTGGAAAGGTTGCGTGCGTCACGAAACTCAAGAATCTGGACTTTCAGAAGTTTTACCCGCTAACTATGGCTGTCTGGAAAATACTTTATCTCCCTGGATATACTCATGTTCCAACAGGAGCAAATCTCGGTGGGTTGTAAATCCCCATAACTTTCTTGATTAATTCCCCTCCCAGGGTACAAATCCAACAAACTAATACTAGCTTTAACTTAGCCAACTTATTCTATGATATATGACTAACTGACTAATCCCAAGACTCAGTGTTTAATGTGGTAAACCCAAGGCCATAAGCATCCCCAAGTCATCACCATTCTTGTGGGTGGTAAAAAACATGCCCGGTCATGGTAGCACATGAATTTTCAGCTGTCCATTATTCGTCATTGTTCATCTATTAAGTTATATAAGTTATATACCCATTATTACCTACTGTTCATGATTGACACATTGTCACCATGAACCAACTATTCATCAACGTGCCGCATGGGGAACCCCATGGTGGCGACCTGACGGTTGGAAGACGTCAAGCCCTTCAACGCCGCGACCAGGAGGCGATGCCCTCGAGAGACGATGGAGGATCCCGTGATGAAAAACCATGGGTTTCTGGGGGATTTCTATTCCAGTAGGGGAATAAATAGGGGAACATGGGATTTACCATGGGATTTACCATGGGATTTACCACAACAAAAAGTTCCATGGTGAAACCAGCAACAAGCCATGGTGGTTTTCACTCAACTTTGACCCCAACCAAAACGTAACGGTTTTTGACACAGAAATCTTGGGAACCGGATCTCCCCATGGATCGCGCTGTGCCTTCGTTCGCCCAGCTTGCTGGTTTGGGCTTGGAAGGTCGTGCTGGCGCCTGATATTGAGCAACAAACATGGCGATAAATGTCCATGCCATGGACTATAGATGGGGTATACGGAATTATATGGACCCATATAACAATCCGAAAATATTGAAGCAACAATTTCTTGGTAGCAGTAAATCAATGTAAGCAATACATTCAAACAACAAAACGGTGGCCTTCCCGAGACTTGGCTTTGCGATTTCGCTTGGAGGTGTGGAATCTTGACCCATTTGCAGCTCAAATCTGAGATTTCTGCAACGGGTTTACAGGATTCCCATTATGATGGTTTTTTGTTCAGGGATGTTCAGGGAACCTGAACCTCAGTGGTTCACCAAAATTCAATTTCTTTTGTTCAGACATCACCCAATATCATAGTTAATCACCCAATATATTATTAGTACGTATGGTTAACTATCATAATGATAATGACTAAGACTATGACAATGATAATCATGATTCTTTCGGTCCAGGTCCCTATCACCCAATATCTGCCTGCACAGTCGCGGCAGCCGCGGGAGACAGCTCCGGTAGCAGCGCGGTCAAGGCGTTGAAAGGCAGTGGATGCCTTGGTTGCAAGACAAAACATGGGATTTTGCCCAATCAGAGGATTGACTGGAGCGTGGGTTGAACCAACGAAACAATGAGCATGGGAGCAAAAAAAATAGAAAAAAGATGGAACCTACAAACATGATAAACCCAACAGTTTGCCAGATTGACCAGGCGGGTTTGTTTCGAAAATGGAGAAGAAGTACCCAGGGGATTTTGGGCGAGATTTCGGCACACCCACGTTGGTGATATGACTGCCCCGGTGATATGTGCATGGACGCAGCTACGCAGCTGTAGCTATCACTATGACACAACTGCTTTTTCTGATGCTTACTGCTGCTATTAGGTCATTCTTACACAATGTATCCCAGGCTTTAAGGGGGGAAACCATATTGCTATCAGCTGCTATCCATGTTGGTATCCATCTACTATCGGGATCATCTGAGCCCACAGAAATCAAGCTTCAAATCTCCTGCGGCTGCACGGAAAGCATCACCATTCGCCACATAGAGCCTTCAAGGACGTTGTGGCTGGAGGAATCACACACAGCAGTGAGTTGGCTTGCATGGGCATGGTGCGTTCTATCCCTAGCGGCCAGTGAACTACACATGTTGGATGGTTGAATCGCCACATTTGCTGCTTTGAAGTCTCTTTTCTGACAAAACAGTCATTTCATGTCAAATCCTCGTCTTTGCTTTTTGGATCTCACCATTTGCATTTCATTTACCATCTGGTCATCAAAGATGGATTGGTGATTCTAAGTCACCGTTAAATCACCATTTAAATCACCATTTAAATCACCATAAAGTCCTATTAAATCCCATTAAATCCCATTAAATTCCATGAAATCACCATTAAATCACCATTAAAATCACCATAAAATCCCCCCAACTCGATGAATGTCCGGTTGCCAGGCTACGCTCGTAGGCTTCGCAGCGCTGCTTGCTCGATGCTGGCCACGGCTCTCGTAGGCCGTGGCCACATGCCACAAGCTGAGAGCCGGTCGCCGCGCAGCCAGGTGATTCGGATCTTACCCCGGAAAAATCATGGGAACGTCATCTAGAAATGGTGATATATATATATTACAGTATTATATAATTGTATATATAAATATATGATTATATGTGTATATATATAATTATATATAATTTTATATGATTATATGTATATAGAAATATATATATATATACTGGGGGTATAATCTAACGGTATAATGAGATCATATGCGACACAAACCGACAATCAAAGATGGGAAATCCTTGAACTAGCCATGGAGGTTTATAGCTGGGAAAATCATCAAACCAAATGGGTCATTCTCCATGGCAATGTTAAATTACCAGAGGGTAACTTCTATGTTATCATTGTCTCTGTCGTTGTTGATGATGATGATGATGGCGGCCTTTGACATATCTTACTGAACTGGGAACATCAGACATGACCAACGAGAAGGTGCGAAGTAATGGATCATCACAAACTCTTATCTGATTCCATCATATGGGCTTGTCTGAAACTAGTGCGCCCATAAATCCACTGGTGAATCATAATTTCCATCAACAGCCGGCCATTTAAGTGGGGTTGACTCTCATGTTCAGAAACACCCAAATATCATACTGCTAGTCAAATATGCTACCGCATCGTATCACTATATAATCAAACGTGGCAATGGACAATCTCACATGTATAGATGATTTTCTCAGCTCGAAACCTCATCTATAGAGTATTTCCCAGCGGCCATGTGTGATTGGCAGAGGATACCACCATTTTATCAATATCATTATTCCCAAAAAAAGAACAATCCCTGAGACTTGGCAACTCTCTGGGTAAATTTTAATATTTCACTCATCTGAATTAAGGCCATTTGGGGACGATTTCCCTTACCAGTGAGGTCGCAGTGAGGTCGTTATTATTTATGCAGAACTATACCAATTCACCCATTAATCATTACTAGCCATTTATTATTGGCGATCATCCCCATCAATCATTGGTTATTGATGATTTCACCAGATACGATCGTGAGTATTTATCCATCAATAATCATTTCTAGCCCTTTATTACCCTCTGACAAACTACCATAGCTATTCAAACATCACCATTTTCTATTTTTCGGTAAAGCAACTTTAAATATTTTAAATCACCCAGTTAGTTCATCCAAAAAATCCATAGCAAAGCCTTAGTTGACCTAGCCATTTATTGGTTGCATCTGGTTCCCATTGGTTCCCCATTGGTTCCCCATTGGTTCCCCATCACGTCGTCACCTCGAAGCAACTCCTGCAGCAAATCCGTGAGAACTGGTCCCTTCAGGGACGGCAGCCTGACGACTTTCCAGGGACGGCAGGGGAAATTCCTGGAGAAATATAGGGAGAATCATGGGATTTGATGGGATTTAATAGGATTTGATGGTGATTTCATGGTGGTTTTATGGTGATTTTATGGTGATTTAATGGGATTTAATAGGATTTGATGGTGATTTAATGGGATTTAATAGGATTTGATGGTGATTTAATGGTGGTTTTATGGTGATTTTATGGTGATTTAATGGGATTTAATAGGATTTGATGGTGATTTAATGGGATTTAATAGGATTTGATGGTGATTTAATGGTGGTTTTATGGTGGTTTAATGGGATTGGGGATTTAATCGGATTTAATGGTGATTTAATGGGATTTAATAGGATTTGATGGTGATTTAATGGTGGTTTTATGGTGATTTTATGGTGATTTAATGGGATTTAATAGGATTTGATGGTGATTTAATGGGATTTAATAGGATTTGATGGTGATTTAATGGTGGTTTTATGGTGATTTTATGGTGATTTAATGGGATTTAATAGGATTTGATGGTGATTTAATGGGATTTAATAGGATTTGATGGTGATTTAATGGTGGTTTTATGGTGGTTTAATGGGATTTAATACGATTTTATGGTGGTTTAATGGGATTTAATGGGATTTGATGGGATTTAATACGATTTTATGGTGGTTTAATAGGATTTAATGGTGATTTAATGGTGGTTTTATGGTGATTTTATGGTGATTTAATGGGATTTAATGGTGATTTAATGGGATTTAATACGATTTTATGGTGGTTTAATGGGATTTAATGGGATTTGATGGGATTTAATACGATTTTATGGTGGTTTAATAGGATTTAATGGTGATTTAATGGTGGTTTTATGGTGATTTTATGGTGATTTAATGGGATTTAATGGTGATTTAATGGGATTTAATACGATTTTATGGTGGTTTAATGGGATTTAATGGGATTTGATGGGATTTGATGGGATTTAATACGATTTTATGGTGGTTTAATGGGATTTAATGGGATTTGATGGGATTTAATACGATTTTATGGTGGTTTAATAGGATTTAATGGTGATTTAATGGTGGTTTTATGGTGATTTTATGGTGATTTAATGGGATTTAATGGTGATTTAATGGGATTTAATACGATTTTATGGTGGTTTAATGGGATTTAATGGGATTTGATGGGATTTGATGGGATTTGATGGGATTTAATACGATTTTATGGTGGTTTAATGGGATTTAATGGGATTTGATGGGATTTGATGGGATTTAATACGATTTTATGGTGGTTTTATGGTGATTTAATGGGATTTAATGGGATTTAATAGGATTTTATGGTGGTTTAATGGGATTTAATAGGACATACCCTCTGGTAAACGTTTACATAGCTGTTGAGATGTTCACCATCTTTAGTGGGTAAATCAACTATTTTGACTGGGCCATTTTCAATAGCGAACTGTTAAATTACCAGAGGGTATACATCATATAAATATATCAAATAAATAGGGATTGAACCATCAAGCATGGTGGTATAATGGGGTAGAATGGGATAATAATGGAACATTATGCTGATCCAAAAGATTGGATAATATCATGATGAGATACGTTGGATAACACATGACCAGCACATTTGGATGATTAACCATTTATTATGAAACAATGGGGGAGAATAATGGGAGAAAAATTCACCACGGGGTTATAAGAAGTGATTAACTAATGATTAACTAGTAGTTAATCAGTTAACTAATGGTTACTAATGGTTACTAATGGTTACGAATAGTGTATTAGTGCAGAATCATCGAACCAAATGGTCATTGGTTCGTGGGGTTACCCTCGCTAATCCAGCATGACTAACCAGGAAATCCTAACTAGAAAAGGGCCGGCATTTCAATGGGAAAATCATCGAACTAAATGGGTGATGTTCCGTTGCCATGTTTGATTACCAGAGGGTGAGGATGGGACAATATTCTAGGTATTGAACAATCCACATGTATCCGTTTTAGCAGTTGATGGGGTAATGAATTCTAGGATTTTGCTTGGTAAAAATGGACAATTTGGCGGGTTGGGGTCCCTAAAACGTGAATCTGACGCTTGCACTTTACCGCAGAGGACAGAGCAAGCTGGATCAAATCAGTCGGCATGGGACGAAATTGACTCAAACCAGATCTGGTCATCTCAAGTGAAGTTACACACAGGAAAACCGATAGGAAAATGGTGATCTAAGCAACGGAAACAGGGATTTAAGATGATTTAAGATGATTTCATGGGATTCCAAGCCAAAACAATCATAATCCCATCTAGTCAAATTTTGACTAATCAGACTAGGCGGAAGCAAGACGTTGATGACAGCTACAGCTACATCACCGTTCGGTGCCTCATCTCTGCAAAGTTTTCCAGACGTTTCAAAGTCTCCTGCCAGGCCGAAAGGGGAGCATCATGGCTTCCACCGGTTCGGTGGAGCAGTCAGTCAAGGAACATGATGTGATTGATGTGATGTGCTTTAATAATATATCTGGTTAATGGGATTTTGTTATGGGATAATCATCTTAATAATGGGATTATATCATAATAGTGGTTATAATACCTTAACAGCAACATTCTTCTTGGCGCTGACATGGACTCTGATGGAGACATGTGCAAAGGTGGCTCACGGACCATACCATGCGAAGCGACATCAATTTGTTGCCTTTCGGCTTTGTTGAGGCTTCGTCTCCGAAGACGGCTCACAAACTCGCAGATGCATGCGTCTGAAAGTTGTGTAGCCCCAAACCTATTGGTTTCACTCAAATCTGTTCACCGAAGAATTTGGGAAGATTCTTCGGGTCAAGAAAACGTAACACATTTTTTGGGGTCATAACATCTGATAAAGCAGCAACCATAAACCAGGCATAAGAATGTATAGGACCTCCCAAATTGATCAAGTTCAGAAATACAGTAAACCAAACTACAATGATTCCCAAATGAATTGGGATGATTCCCCATATGTAATAATATATATGTATATGTATGTTTATATAAAACCCAGCAGTGTCCAAACAGATTTAGATGCAAGGCCGCAGCTAGTTTGCACCTACAGGCTGAGAGTTAAATAGATGCCTACATTATATATATATATATGTAATGTAATGTAATTTAATGTAATGTAAGGTAAGGTAAGGTAAGGTATGTATGTATGTATGTCCCAGGATATCACATTAATTATGAGCCCCCTATATCCCCAGATTATGTCACCCTGTCACCCTTTTATCCGTATGTGTATGTGTCAAAATAATACTAAATAACTGGAGTAGACAGACTATGAACATCTCAATTAAAAAAACTCACCAAATTGGGAATATCTTGGGTTAATATCCCATAATTCTATTTCAGGATGATTCCAAATATATGCATACATGTTTACAATATGTATAGATATATATATATATACATTTGCCGTTCGCTCCTCGTCTCCAAGATCGGAGCCCATGGAACGCAGCAGCTCACCTTGCCGCTCCAAGGTCCTTGGAGGTGCTATAAACCATCCCCAAGTGGTAGATGTTTTAATCTGGGGCTCCCCTCATAGTTATATATACAAATACATTAATATATATATATATATATTATACATATTAAATATACATATGCGTGTGTGTGTGTGTGCTGATCCCCTGTTCGGCTGATGACTGATCTCCTATCCTACTGATCTCCTCCTGTGCTATTGTCCCACTGACCTCCTGTCCTACTGATCTCCTGTCCCAAACATCTCCTGTCCCACTCACCTCCTGTCCTATTCATCTCCTGCTCTATTGATCTCCTGTGTGCTTTTTCTCTCCAGTGCTACACAATTGTTGATCAGTCTAGTACCAGGTGATATTCATACACAACAACAATCCCATAGGCTTAGTAACGTCACCCCTCCAAACAAAACCTGACAAGGAGGCACCATCCCAGACAGGGAAACCACTACCATTTTCTGCTTTTATCACACCTTTCTAGCTTTCCATAGATTAACCATATATTAACCATAGACTTGAGGCCGGGGGTGGATGACGAAAGCTAGCGGGGTAGGAGAAAGAAGGAAGGGAAGAGGTGAGTTGCGGAGGGACTGTCATCATCGTGTCGCGGCATTGTTCGTCCAAACGAGGATGCAACAATGATATATTGATATATGATATATAACAATGATATATATGGGGGAGGGGGCAGGGGGGGGCCCTTTCGCGGGAAAAATCACGTGATGTCCTTGGGGAGCCCCGGAATACGTGCTAAAGCAAGAAGACTCTAGCGAGCTGACGCTAGCTTTCGTGATAATGACAATAATTGCCAATAATGATAAAATGTAATTGAATAACGATGATGATGATGATGATGATGATGATGATGACGATGATGATGATGATGAATGATGAATGATGAATGATGAATGATGAATGATGAATGATGAATGATGAATGATGAATGATGAATGATGAATGATGAGATGATGATGATGATGATGATGATGATGATGATGATGATGAATGATGAATGATGAATGATGAATGATGAATGATGAATGATGAATGATGAATGATGATGATGAATGATGAATGATGATGATGATGATGATGACGACGAGGATGATGATGATGATGACGATGATGATGACGATGACGATGACGATGACGAGGACGATGACGAGGACGACGACGATGATGATGATGATGATGATGATGATGATGATGATGATGATGATGATGACGAGGACGAGGACGAGGACGAGGACGATGGAGAGGACGATGACGATGATGATGACGATGATGATGACGATGATGATGATGATGATGATGGTGATGGTGGTGATGGTGGTGGTGATGGTGGTGGTGGTGGTGGGGGAGGGGGGGGGCCCCCCTTTCGCGTGAAAAATCACGTGATGTCCTTGAGCAGCCCCCCCAATACTTGCTAAAGCAAGAAGACTCCAGCTAGCTGACGCTAGCTTTCGTGATTAACCATAGATTAACCATAGATTTTCTGGCGTCCAGGGGTCCAACCCACCAACCTATCGACTCATCTGCTGCCAAGCCACAGAGCCCGCATCTGCTGCACCGATGGCCACCGAGCCGCTGGCAGCGCTTCCGCGGGCTCCATCGAGGGCACATCAGAGGAGCTGTCGTAGGTCTCCTGCATTGATCGCGGGATACTTGGATGTGCATCTCACTTAGTAAGTGGTTGATAAACCTATACATATATATATATGTATATATATATATACATATATATATATGTATATCTATATGTGTATGTATATGTATATATATATATGTATATATATTTAACATTGTATAACTGGGGGTATGCCATGCACATCCATGCACCCCACCCGTTTACTAAGTGGGATGCACCCCCAAGTACGATTTGAGTAGCAAATGACATCACTATTTGGGAGGCTACCCCCTACTCGCTGCATCCAAGGAGAGTTTGCAACAGCTGATGGTGTACCCACACTGTCTACAGTCATGGCTGCAATCCAACTTTCAGGATTAACCCTCGATGTTTATGGCTCCTGATTTTACAAATGGGTTCCATGATTCTTGCTCAAATAAATCTACAAAACAGTGGAAAAACACGTGCGAAATAAATAGTTCAATGTCCATCGCGATAAAAACCACTTGCAAGGGTCCAAGACTTTAAAATGCCCCAACAGTTGGTTGGCCAAACTGGCGTAGACAATGGAACACTCGACTATGCAAGTCCCGAAACTCATGGAAAGCGATCGTTTGATACTGTAGCAGTCGTGTTGGCAATAAGCATCCCGGTTTCTCACTATACGTTTCTCATCATGTTCCGTAATTTTAACTGGGCTGTTGGGCTGATAGTGAAGGAGCCTATTGGGCTTATCATATCCACATTGGTTGCTATTAGGCACCAGTATTCTTAAAAATGCTTTCCGTTACGGAAAAAAATGTGTTTTATTGGTGTGAACATATTTGTGGAAAAAAATATATGTATTTTTTTTGATGGACCTAGGTATTGAAATCCCATGTCAATTTTCCCCAGAAGGTTGAGATTTGAGATATTCATGAACAAATCCTATTGATTGGGGTATTAAGATCTAATGATTATTCTTTCTTCATCCTATAATATACAAATGTTGTTGTATATCGTCTAATGGGTCTCATATCATAATATAATCATAACAAAAAAAAAACGTAATAACGATAACAACAATATATAATACTAATTGTGAACAATAGAACTTTAGTTGTCATAATAGTTGTTGTTCATTCATACCCGTCGCCGTACCCCAACTGTTACCCCAACCCGGTTGTCGCCTCCGCGGCGAAAGGATCCGGCTCCGCCGTCGGCGCCGACTGCGCAGAATTCGCCCGGGTCTCGCGGACCAGGAGCTCAAGCTCCTGTGCAGCCAATGGGATATCTATTTAGATTCAGATTGTTCAGTAAAGACTCGATATTACTATATATATGTATATATATGTGTATTATATTATTTATGTATTAGATATATATATATATACAGTATATATATATATGTATACAATAGATATACATGATACGATATTACATGAACAAACACATAGAATGATTGCGGTATACCGTACCTAATTTATGCAACCGTTCTTACTCAGTTGATTAGATGACACCTCGGGTGGACCCAATAGTTCCCAATAGTGCCATTCAAAAAATGTTCGAAGCGTCGCAACAAAAACAGGGTACCCCAAAAAAATCCTATGGCCATGATGTCCCCTGTTAAAATTGCCATTTTCTTCGGGGAAATGCCCAATTTTCATAGCCCCTGGCGCCTGGGTGCCTTGCGAAGCCTCCGCTGAGCCGCCAGATGTCTGCAGGTCCTGTTCTGCGGAACCTTGGCACGGTGCAGAAAATTGACCAAAATCATCCAAAATCCATAGATTTGGCTGGTCTCATCCAAAATGATGAAAAAAATGGTTTTCCTGAAAAAGTGAAACACTTCTTTGCTTTGACCACCCAGCTAAGTTGGAATGCTTCCTGCCTTGAGGAACTCAGTGCCAGCTGGTTGCCCAACCACACCGACTACCCTCCGGTGGATCAAGTTGTCGGACGCAACCTTCAAAATTAACAAATTTTGTGAGTTCTAATGGGTTTGAAAATAAGTTCAACCCCCAATTCCAATGGATCAAAGCATCATTTTTCCTATGTCATGGCCATATATGGCCATATCATAATATCCCTTCTTTTTTTGGTACATTCCCACTCCTCGGGGTGTTCGTCAAAATCTCCAAG